CACACACACACACACACACACACACACACACACACACACACACACACACACACACACACACACACACAACACACACACACAGACACGCACACAAACACACAAACACACACACACACACACACACACACTCTCTCTCTCTCTCTCTCACTCTGTGAAAAATATGTATGTATATATATATATATTTATCTTTCCCCCCCCTTCCTCTTCTCCTCTTTGTCTGCCCTCTCTCGCTCTATTTCATTCGCCCCTCTCCGTTTCTTCCTCTTCCTCACTTCCTTACTCCCCTCTCGCGAATAGTATCGCCCACAACCAGTCAAGCATGGAAAACTTTACTCATGCCACTCAAAACTTGGTCCATCATATCTTACTCAACTCAAACGCCTCTCTGCACCCTTCCGTCCAATCCCACTTGGCCTGCTTCTGCAGCAGTGCATGCAATGGTGCTAGACTCGTTGATAGGTTCCCAATAAAATTCCCATAAAAATTCAGTAGCCCCAAGTACGAACGGAGTTCTTGCACGTTGGTTGGCTCAGGCGCCTTCACAATGGCCTCTACCTTCTCCTGCAGAGGGTGCCTCCCTTCTGCATCAACCCGGTACCCTACGTATTCTACCGATGGAGCCCCAAACGTACACTTCGATGCTTTAGCCCTGATTCCATGTCGTTCCAGTCGCGTTAGTACCTCATCAACCACCTGAGCATGTCGCTCGGGAGTTGTGCAAATCAGAATGTCATCTATCCGACATTGGACTTTCAGCTAGTGTTGGAATTCCCGTTTTTGGTCCCAGAATTGTCACCAGTGGCTTGTGGTCTGTCAACAGGTGAAATTCTCTCCCATACAAGTATTTATGGAATTTTCGGACCCCAAACACAATGCCTAACGCCTCTTTCTCAATTTGAGAATAGTTTTTCTCACTCGCAGTAAGCGTACGTGATGCGAACGCGATCGGCCGCTCACTGCCATCGTCCATGACATGTGATATCACAGCTCCCACCCCGTAGGGGGAGGCATCACACGCTAAAATCAGTTTCCGTTTCTCGTCGTACGGAACCAGCACTCGACTTTCTAAGAACTTGGCCCATCTTTGCATCCGCGCGGCAATCATATTGCAAGCCTACAAATATACGGTAGATTACCGGCGGTCAGTTGAGCATGCCAACGCGGACGCATTGAGTAGGTTACCAAGCGGCCGAGATCGTGAGATGGAACGAGAAGAAGAAGTACATTTCTTCTCAAACCTCGACGAAATGCCCACCCAGGCTAGAGACATACAAAAAGCCACGCAGCGAGACCCAGTCTTAGCTCGAGTGATGTTTTACGTGCAAAGTGGGTGGCCGGAATATCTTCCAGAGACGGGGTGTGGAGGAGTCAGTAAGGCCAAGTTGGAGCCTTTCTTCCGGAGGAGAAATGAGCTCACATGCGAGTCAGGTTGTATTCTGTGGGGTATGAGGGTCATTATACCCCAAGTGTTGAAAAATCAGATTAGCCAAGATCTGCATGATGGCCATCCAGGTATGGTTTCAATGAAAGCCTTGGCCAGAAGCTACGTGTGGTGGCCCAATATGGACGCTGAGCTGGAAGCGTTGGTACAAGGGTGTGAAGTATGCCAAGTAGTCCGACCAACACCCCCCACGGCTCCACTGCATCCGTGGCCATGGGCGAGTCGTGTGTGGCAGAGGGTACACATAGATTTTGCAGAGAAGGGAGGGGTTTCCTACCTTGTGTTAGTTGACGCGAACTCAAAGTGGATAGAAGTAGAGCAGATGCGGTCCACGACAACCGAACGTACCATTGAAGTGTTGCGAGCTTGGTTCGCACGGTTTGGGCTACCGGAGGAACTGTGTTCCGACAACGGGCCACAATTCATTTCCGCAGAGTTCAAACAATTCCTCAGCCAGAATGGCATCAGACACAAGCTCAGCCCACCCTACCACCCCGCCACGAACGGGGCGGCAGAGCGCGCCGTACAAACGGTAAAAAAGGCACTGAGTAAAGAAATGGAAAGGGTCAGTAGAGAGGGCGGAAAACGGACAGACTCTCATGTTCTGGCAAGCTTTCTGATCAGGTACCGAAACACACCACACTCTGTGACTAAACAAACACCAGCCGAGCTATTTCTGAAGCGGAAAATGCGCACAAAATTCACAAACTTGATTCCCTCATTGGAGGACCACATGTCGAAACAGCAACAGAAGCAAATAGAGTTTCATGACCGGAGCAGAGTGGAGTTGAGGGAGTTTGGTCCTACGGAGATAGTCAGTGTGAGTGTGAAAGGAGACCCCAGAAAGAGGGTTCTGGGTACAGTGGTTAAAGCCATGGGCCCGCGGAGTTACCTTATCAGAATAGGGAGACAACTGCGACATGTGCATGTAGACCATTTGGCGCGAACCCGGTGCAAGGAGGCAGACCTTCCGGAGGAAGAACCGTTTGAATTTGAACCATTCGGTGACCAGGAGTCTATGCCGAAAGCAAACAGGAGTGTTGAAACTAGCACTGCTAGCCGCGGCCAGGCGGAGTCCGTAGCACCTGAAATTGGGGCCAGTCCCCAGAGTCAGCCGACTCGTACACCTGAGCGAAATTCTGGTGCAGAGATTCCGTCAAGTCCTCGAGCGACACCGGTCCGCCGATCCCGTAGAGTGACAAAACCCCCAAATAGGCTAAATCTGTAGCAAATCAGGCAACCCCGCTAATTAGGTTGAGTGTATACTCATAGGGGATATATAATTATTAGTGAAATGTTCAATAGTTGGTACAATGTTCAATCGTATATTTGTGTGTTGTCAGTTAAAAAGGTTCCGTTACATAATTGTTCTAACATGTTTGTTTAAGGGTTACATGTGCCCAGTTACCTACTGAATTGGTTAACAGTAAATTAAACAGGGGAGAAGTGTGGTATATTGAGACCTAGCCTAATGGTTAGTGTAGTCGCCGCTATGGCGCTGCGGGCGCTACGACGCCACCTATAAACAGTTAATAAATACTTTCCAATATGGTCGAATCCTGAACATGTTATGATTTCAGAAGTTTGTAATAATCTGTAGATCTATCATACTAAATTGAACCCATACGTCGGATCAAGACGCTACACAATATAATACAATGCAATATACAATATAATACAATATACCTATTGAATTAGGCTAAGTACATTTTTGCATTTAAAAAGTGGCTTATTATCGAATATATTGTGGAGTAAATGAGGCCATTTCTATTGTAATATCTATTAAATTAACAGCTGTCAATTCCGTGACATTGGATATAGCAACAAAACGTTGCATGTTTACCGTAATATTATTACAAGCCATAGGGCTTGTCTTGAAAAAAAAACCACCACTCAATGATTGTTTAATCATCGAGTTTGTTTTCATAACCATATGCTCATTTGCATGGTAACTAATATTATTACAAGCACTAGTGCTTGTTTTGAAAAAACTACTACTCAATGATTGTTTAATCATAGTTTGGTCTCATAACCATGTGCAGGGGCGGATCCAGAGGGTTTGGGTGACCAGTTTCCATAGTTCTAGTCACAGCTAGGGGGTCCGGGGGCATGCCCCCCCCGAGAATTTAAAAAAAAGAAGGCTATATTTGGTGCACTCTGGTGAATTTTGAGGGTCAATTCTGAAGATACCCAGCCTGTGACCGGTTTCTGGAAACCGGTGCAAACCGGCCTAAATCCGCGCCTGATGTGCTCATTTATATGGTAACTAATATTATTACAAGCACTAGTGATTGTCTTAACCCATTCATGCATGGAGCCTTTCCCAATGATAAATTTTGATAGCCTTTGGTATTTGGACTTCATATGGGCCAAATAGTCTTCTTTTTTTTTAATTCGTCCAGAAACCATGGAGATTTTTTTGGATCACTTTAGTGACCCTCATGCATACGGGCACCGGTTGATTAAAAAATGTCAATAAAACTAGACTTGCTAAAACATACTATAACTATTTTATTTCTAACTGTAAACGAACATTATAAACTATAAAACAGTTTATTGCAGTTATAAGACATATTTCATGATATAATTCCATAATCAGTATTCAGCAGTGGACACGGTGGACAATCGAATTACAATTATTTCCAGCAGTTCATTTAGTGACTTTTCAGCAGTTCAGTATAGACTTTTCAGCAGTTCATTAGTGAAGTCTTGGGTATTTTTCTACTGAGATTCTATCACTTCAAGTGGAAGTAGTAGAAGCAATCAGATTTACCATCTATGCACAGGTAGACCCTGCACTTCACACAAAAATATTTTGTGCGGCGCAAGCATAATGTGTTCTTGCACTTCTTGGGGATTGTTGCCATTTGCCTTGGTAAATGGCCTACACCATCGAAACGAATGTGGTCATGGACTAGCTTAGCACTGCGAACATCTTTCTCCACCTGAACCATGTTTTCTCTCAGCATTGGTTGAGGATTTGGGGTTCCCTGGACCAGGCACTTAGCAATCACTGCCTTTTGAAGGTGCCATGCATTTGAACAGCACATATCAACTAGGTGCAAGATCAACATTCTATACCATTTCCTACTCTTCATCTTAATGCGATACAGCGAGATCATATCACATTTGTCAACCCCTCTCATACCCTTGTTGTAGGTCTTGATGAGGGAGGGACATGGTAAATTTACATATTCCTTTGCCTTCCTATCATAGCGGCGTACTTGTTCAGTGGGCATAACAGAGCACTTGTTGGAAGCAACTGTAACTACCCTATTATCATACCAGCCACAGACTAGTACGCCATCTGATGTCCTATAAACAAAAGACCCCCTCCCTTTCTTCTTGAATTCCTTCTCAGTCATAAGAGAACATTTCCTACATCGATTAGCGCGGACAGTGCAAGTTGCATGGAAACCCCTTTTCTTCAACTCTAGGAGGAGGTCAGGGGAGGCAAAGTAATTGTCAACGAAAATGTGTGTGCCCTTTGGCAAATGGCTCACCAAATTCAAGACAACTTCCCCACTTTTTCCAATGCCTTCATCTATATCTCCCTGCTCTGGAACCAAGTTATCCCCTTGAATGTAAAATTTATGCATATAACCTGATTGTCCTGCTGCTCCCCAAATTTTGTAGCCCCATTTGTTTTTTTGTTTTTTTCCATATAGACCTTTAAAGAGAGGTGGCATTTGAAGGGAACAATTTGTTCATCAACGGACATGTGGTTCACTGGGTTTGCACACTTTTCGAAGTTTTCAGAAACAATATTCAAAATCGGGCGAATTTTGTGCAGTCTGTCATACCCTGGTTCATCCCTGTTTTTCATTAACTCATTATCTGATGCGTGGAGTATAGATAATATAGCTTCAAATCTGTTAACGGGCATGACTTCAGCTACAAATGACTGCCTTGTTGCAGTGGCCCAGTAGTCCCTCCTAGATGGCATATGGAATACTGGCATGTACATTACAATTCCTAGCACTTGGCGCATTTCTTGGTCAGTAACCTTTTCAATTTTTTTTTCAACCATGCTAAATCTAAGGAGGCTTCGCTCGTCCCTCTCCAGGTTCTTGGTTTAGCATGTGTGAGGTAGTCACCTTAAGGGTTAGCCGTCTGGTCACGTCAATAGATAACACGAACACTGTATTACAAAAGCTACTCTCCGTGCGTTATATTACACCACCTAATATTCGTCCCAGCTTGGAGTTTAGCATCCACAGATGCGGCGCTTGACTAATATGTGTCACTCGGATGATATATGGCGAGTGACACCAATAGGTGTCCCTCGGATGATGTAGTGCGTTATTTATGGTATCGCTTACGCCATGCGCCTTTGCCGTGCGGCTTTGCCGTGCGATAGCTCATGTAGGGCGGCTAGTGTAGGGTGCTATAAATAATATCTGGAGAAGCCTGCGCTGTCCTACACTTGCCCCGGGGTTCCAAAACGTTAGGAGCCACAAGTTGTGGCGAGGAACGGTTGCGGCATCACGTACGGAACGTATTGATGGTGCAACGCTGTCGTAGTAGGACGGGGCGCCGCAGTGATGGATGTCTGCCGGGAAACGCGCACAGGGGTATAGGTGCTGTGCCTGCAAAACGTCCGAGAAGCCGGTAATGGTATACGCTATACGCTGAAGGCGATACGGTGACGTATATGAGACAGTACACGAAGGTGTACGATACGGTACGATACGGTGCAAGACGGTTACAGTTACGACGTTGGGGACGCTATAAGTGGGACAGCATTTGTTCGGTTTTGTATTTTATGGTTTTTTTTCTCTATGTCAGCACCACATTTATGTGCTGCGATGCCGCCAAGACGTCATTATAGAAAGCGCTGCAATACACGAGATACGTCGAAACATTAATACCTCAATACTTGAGTACATCAATACGTCGATACATCAATACATCAATACGTCGATACATCAATACGTCGATACATCAATACATCAATACGTCAATCCACGGGCTGGGCGGGGGCTGGGCCGTCAGTGTCTCTGTGGTCCTCTTGCATCGGAGCCGGTTGGGGCTGGGCTGGGGCTGGGGCGGCGGTGGGCCAGTCCTGCTCTTCTATTGGCCAGTAGTCCGGCTGGGGGCAATCGTTGGGGTCGTCGTCGTGGTCGTCGGCCGCGTGGAGCTGCAAGAGTGACTGTGCACTCATGAGCTCCAGGGGCGTGCGGCGTCGTGCCGGGATGTAACATCTGTTTTACACGTGTGACATGGCTAGCTAGACAGAGCGTCATTGCTACATCGATGTATTAGAGAGAATGGTAAACGTGGTTAGGTTACAGATTAGAGGGTCACTGTGAAATTGTGGTAGGACGTAGTCTGTGAGAACGGGTACATGTGCGGGCAGTATGTTTGTAGGAGTTTGGGGGAAATAGATAGGACAGAGATGTAGGGGAGGATTGTGCGATTGTCTGATGATGTGGCTACACCGTGTATGAGTATTAAAGGTTGTACAGTTTACCACACAAGTTTGGATCTTCTTCATCATTTCTACGTGAACGCTCATTCCTGTTTACATTTTGGTGCTCGTGACAACGGACTGGGTTAAGCGAAACACGTAAGGTACACGCTATAATATCATCACCGGCTGTAACGATGGAGAGGAAGAAGCGACGAAGCAAGGAAGAACGAAACAAGAACGCAAGTTACTTCATATCGATCTACGGGCCAGCAACGAAACAAAGGAAGAATGACGGAGAGCGAGAGAGGGAGAGACGGAAGGAAAGAAGGCAATGTCGAGACGCCGGAGCAGACAGCAACGGAAGCCGAGAGAAGAAGCTGGAAGAAAGAAGAAGAATTAATATACTACAAACGATTCACGAGCCACGGAGCCACGGAAGATAACTGGAGAAGGAAGAAGAGAAGCTGGAAGAAAGAAGAACGAAGGAGGAAGAGAGGGAGAGACGGAACGAAAGAAGGCAATGCCGAGACGCCGGAGCAGACAGAGCAACGGAAGACGAGAGAAGAAGCTGGAAGAAAGAAGAGGAAGATATATAATGCCGTGGTAAGTGTTAATTGCAATTTTCCTAGTATAAATTTCGCTGTGCTAACGCTGTTTACTGTCGCCTGACTGCTAAGTATACTGACTATATTGCCTGTGCGGACGGTTTGTGCCACAATAGAGCGTTATAGGGTGCATACGGTATAGAGAGCGTTACACGGGCTAGGATAGATAGCCGTGGCAAGCGTGTGATAAAGGGCGAAGAGGGTCTACGCGAACGTATCATGCGTCACGTTTAACGCATGGAAACGAGGTTAGCATACGCGGCTAAAGTTATGTCTCTGTAAAGACAAGTCGCGTATACACGGTCCGAGAGAAGGACTACGGGGATTTTTGTCACAGAATATATACGCTGGGAATCCTCCACATAACGTGTCAGGGAGCACGGAATATAGATACGCTAGATGTGTAAGCACCCTAAGATACTGTACTGTACTGTACTGTAAGATAAGAAGGCACAGTAGATAACCGTATGATATAATATAGTTACGCACAGGTGTATAGTTGGATACTATAGAAGGCTGGCGATGCGGTAATGGCAAGCACAGATGATGTTATTTTGGGAAAAGTGTGACGCTGAGTAGGCCTACGGCAGAGTATATTTAGTTAGGAACATGGCATATATAATGCTACTTGCGGAGCGGAACAATATTTATAATAATGAAGACCGATATAGTTGTTTCACAAGCTTACCTGACATTGTATGTATGTATGTATGTAGGTTTATGGTTGTTTTATGTACGCGGTATTTTGTTCATGATATATTCGTGTGACCGGTTTTTTGTGTGTGTGGAAAATCTTTTTCGTGAAACTTTGTTTAGAAATTTGTTATCGTTTTCTTGAATTTGTGCTAATCAGTGACGGTACGTTTCCACTATATTGTCAGACCGCTAAACACATTCTTCAATTAGAGTTTGATTATAGGCCAAAAACATTTCATCGAAAATATGAAATCAGTTTTGCGTATTTTTGTTGGCTGTAAGATGTATGATGTATGATGTAGGATGGATGATATATGATGATTTTTGTTGGATGTATGATGTGTGGAAGTGACAAGTACCACATCAGTGCTGTGTGTATTATTATTAATGCCTGTGTGCATGGGGCCCTGTGTGCCCTGGGATTATGAGAATATAATCCAGATATAACGGGTTTTTGGTAATGCGTGTCTGTATACGCATACGCCACGTACGTTACAGCCATAAAAATACGCAAGAGTGAGAGTAATTGCAGCGATATCAGAATGTTCATGCCAAATGTGTTGAGTTTCTGACTTATATTGTGATCGAACTTTATCGTGACTTGTTTTCTACGCTTCATATGTGTTTTCTTATTGTATTTTGATTGTTGTTATGTTTGTGTGTATTGATTGTGGGTGTTTAATCGGACAGAAAGACGTTCCTCGTTGGGTTGAGTTAGGAAGATATTAGGGTAGTATTTTTTTTGGAATTGGTTAGGTTCAGGTTAAAGTGTAGAGCAGCGAGGACNGAGATGTTGGGAAACTCCAACCTCGTCAGTTCGTTGACAACGAACTCATCCTATCAACAACAGGTTCTAGACATCTTGGAAATATGTTAGAAGAAAGTTACGTTCTTTGCAGTCTGACAAAACTAGGCCCCCTCTATCGATATATACCACTACTGTACTCAGTACTGGACTATGGGTAACACCTATGTTCCGGTAACATACGTTAGCCTATGATGTATAGGCTTCGCCTATACTTTCATGACTCTAACCTCTCCTCCCGCAAAACGAGAGGAACGATAATTAATGTGAATACTTACATAATAATTAAAATATGGGAACTTACCGATATGCATCGAACAACACTGTAATCTCACAGATGCCGAAATGTCGTCCTCTTAACACAGTCGAAAATACCAACATCGAAGCAGCCAGTAGACTTAGTAGATTTACTGCAAAACCATAATTCACATATATAAGACACACATTACGAATAACCACTATAAATGATTAATCTTATGTTGTAGTCCTTTCCCACACGGTGCTGCCACCTATGCTAAGAAAGGCACACTAAAAATACCACCCTGCCCCCGCGTCGTTTAAAAGTACACAAGTAATCTTACCGCTCAGAGTAACAACAACCTCTATATAAAGACTAATCAGCACTGCTTTACAAATAGCAGATGTAAGGATTCTAATAACATCGTCATTTACATAACAAAGCACAGAAACTCCCACGCTGAATCACGAAGGCCATCACAGAAGGCCAACTTTTTGAGTACAAAACATGCCCGAATTACTCAGTATTGCACAGTCATCTACAAGACTAACGTCACTTTTGCTCTATACACTCTACTCTATCACCATACGCGATCCATATGTCCTCTAAGCTCTTGTTAAGACAAATCTGCTCCAAAACAGACGCCTTCGCAAGAAGCTTCTCTGCTTACAACTCACAATGACAAAGGCCCTGCGCGCGCTGCGCATCCTAAACAAAAGAACAATCAGCAAATTAAAGGTAGCGCATCCGCATTAAAGGCAGATTGGCCGTTACATTACCGGCCCCCTAATTGTGTCCTGCTAAGGCACAATTATCCAAACAAGTCTTCCAAGAACTCTGATACTAAATAACTGACAAATAACTAAACAACACAACGGGCAATTACTAGGTATTCCAGACTCGTACACTTTAAGCGTAGTGCTTTACTCACACAAATTCCAAGAATATGCGACCTCTCATAAGCTTGTGCAACTTGACACCAATCGACACAATGTCGAACCCACCAACTCACTTTAAGCCGCAAGCTTGTCTAACCACAAATACACTTCAGCTTTAACACTCAACCGTCAAATGATAGAACAGTTCTATAGATTCACAGAATGAATGTATAACTCAGTCTCGACTATGAACGAGGGTGTCTACAACTTCTCCTCATTCTCCAATAGCAAACACAATTTGTCTACAGGTCTGACCAAAACATTCGCCTTGGTTTTCACTCTAACCTGTCTAACTAACCCAAGCCTGTCCGGCATTACAACCTCGACGCGACCCATCAACCAGGAATTCCTAGGCGCGTTCTCATCAACTACCAGCACAACATCATCAACTTGGATGTTGCGGCGAACTCCAAGCCATTTTTGACGCTCCTGGAGGAGTGGCAGATATTCCTTAACCCACCGTTTCCAGAACAGGTCACTCATGTACTGGATCTGCCTCCACCTGCGTCGGGAATAGAGGTCCTGCCTGACAAATGTGCCAGGTGGCAAACTAGGCTTGCGCTTCATTACTAACAAATGATTAGGCGTCAAGGCCTCCAGATCATTGTGGTGATCGGAAACCCTGGTAATGGGTCTGTCGTTCAGCACTGACTCTATCTCACATAGCAAGGTCCGCAAACCTTCCTCGTCTAAGGTCTGTTGACCCAGCACGCTGTTCAGGTTTTTACGAACAGAACGAATCATCCGTTCCCACACTCCGCCATGGTGGGACCCCGCAGGGGGGTTAAACCCCCAGTCAATGTTTTTCTGCAACATGAAGGAGCTAATCTGGTTCATGTTCCAGTTGTCTATTGCGCCTTTAAGTTCTCGTTGCGCACCAACAAAATTAGTACCATTGTCCGACCGTAGTCTCACGCACTGCCCACGCCGGGCCAAGAATCGACGCAATGCGTTTATGAAGGAACTGGTGTCTAGACTATCAGCTACCTCCAGGTGGACGGCTCTTATGGCTAGACAAGTAAACATGACCCCGTAGCGTTTTACGAGAGAGCGCCCCCTTTTGGCTTCAATCGGACCGAAGAAATCTACGCCAGTTGAGTGAAACGGAGGATTGTCCGCCGTGAGTCTGTCCACCGGAAGGTCACTCATTTTCTGTTCACCCACTCGCGATTTCAATCTCCGACACACTATGCAATCACGAATAATTCTGCGGATGGCCGCGGTGGCCTGAATCACCCAGAAACGCTGCCGTAGACGACTCAGCATGTGGTTGCGACCATCATGCATGACACTAGTGTGAACATGCCTCAGGATAAGCGTCGATACATGGCTGTCCTTTGGTAGGATCACAGGGTGCTTAGATTCCTCGGGGAGGTTGGCTCTGCTTAGTCTGCCGCCGACCCGGAGCAACCCGTCCTCGACGTCGAATACAGGGTCCAACTTACGCAACGGACTTCTCTTGCCTAAAGGAGCACTTCCTTGCAAGCAGGCGATTTCTGACGCGAATGCGTTTCGCTGGTCGTACTGCAGAAGAGCGCGCTCTGCTAAGCTCATATCGCGAATTGAGAGTGGCTTCAAGCTGAGTTGGCCATCCTTTGCCCCTATGGAGTCTCCTCTTACTCGCTGAATCAAAGTCCACTTTACTCTCAGCAACCAAGCCACCACACGCTTCAAGCTCAACCAGCTCGAATGATAGTTAATCAATGTGCGAACAGCATCGCTCTCGCAGTTGGTGGCTCGCACCACACCAGTCGTGACAACCTTTCTGATCTCAGGGTCATTATCCAAAGCATCGAACAGAATGTCTGGGGCTTCCGGCCACTCGGTACAATCCCGCCACAGAAACTCGGGGCCATTTGTCCAACGCTCATTGCTGACCAGCTCCTTAACTGTCTGCCCGCGCGAGGCCTCATCTGCTGGGTTCAGCTCGGTATTGACATACCGCCATTGTGCCACCTCCGATCCTTCATGGACCACCACCAGTCGGTTGGCCACAAACGTGTGGAATCTCGTTCTCTCATTCCGAATGTACCTTAGTACTGACATACTATCTGTCCAGAAATATGACCGAGTTATGGGCAGCTGGAGTTCCCTTCTTAACATACCATCCACCCTAACAGCCACCGTGGCCGCAGTCAATTCCAGACGAACGATTGTCACTTGTTTTATAGGTGCTACGCGTGCCTTCCCAGCCACCAACCCACAGTGAACCTTACCAGCAGAGTTCACCACACGCATGTAGGTGGCAACACCATACCCAGACTCACTTGCATCTGCAAAATGATGCAACTCACAGCCCTGAACTTCGCCAAAATCCTTGGGCCTCATGCACCGACTGATTCTGAAAGACGACAGGTCTTCCAGTTCCGACCTCCACCTGTTCCATTGATCGTCCAAGTTCTTGGGAATAAGCTCATCCCAAGAGAGACTTAGCCGACACAGCTCTTGTAACAGCGACTTGGCCTTCAGCACGCAAGGGGCCAAAAACCCTAGGGGATCGTAAATCGAACTTACGATGGATAGTATTCCCCTTCGAGTCACTGGCCTCTCCTTAAGATCGACATCGAACATGAACTGATCCGACTCCGCGTCCCACTGGACACCCAATGCGCGGTCAACCGGAAGACTGTCGCAATCTAGATCCAGGGATTTCGCGCCCTTGGCCCAGTCCTTATTAGGAATGGACTCCATCACCTCACGTTCACTACTCAGCCATGCCGTCATATTGAATCCACGACTTTTAGTCATACCCTTCACATTGCCATGCAGCTCGACAACCTTTGGCACGGTGCCATCGGACTTGAGACAGTCATCCACGTACACATTCTTGCGTATCGTATCAGCAGCGGCCTTTCCAAACTCAATCTCACCGTCGTCCGCAGCCATTCGCAGCGCATAACTGGCGCAACTCGGCGAGCTCGTGGCGCCGAACAAATGTACTACCATCTGGTACTCGATCACTGGACCAGCCAAGTTCCCATCACGCCACCACAAGAATCGCTGAAAGCTTGCATCCACCAGTGGCACACGGACTTGACTGAACATGGACTCAATGTCGGCAACAACCGCCACTTCCTGTTCCCTGAAGCGCAACAGGGTACCCACTAGATTGTTTGTCAAGTTTGGCCCAGATAGAAGCTGATCATTCAACGACGTGCCGCCGTACCTTGCTGCGCAATCAAACACCACTCGCAGTTTGCGCTTTTGCGGATGGTACACACCGTGGTGTGGCAAGTACCATGTGTGACCAGGCTGTGGAATCGGGTCACCGGTGACCTCACGCGCGTACCCATGACTTAAGGTTTTTTCCATAAACGCACAATAGTCCGCGTGGAGCTCGGGATCGCGTTCTAGCCTTCTACCTAACCCCTTCAGCCTCTGTTCTGCCTGGGCCCGATTGTTGGGCATACTAACGTCCAGCGATCTAAAGGGCAGCCCTATTGTGTAATGCCCTTCCTCAAACTTGATGGACCGTGACACCGAGTCCAGGAATCTCCTATCCTCCCTCGAATACTGTTCCACATCATCCACAGCACCAGTACGCTCACTGAAGTCGTAGCTCATTTGTTGTTTCAATGTCTCATTCAATTCGGCCTCCGACGTCATGGACGAAGCATGAACGAAATTGGAATGAACCACAATGCTGTTGGCCCTAGCCGTCGTACACAACGGCCCATTCACAACCCAACCCAACTTGGTGCGTACAGCGAAGGGTCCATCCCCTTCACTAGGGATAACCTCGTAAGGTTCCATAACCTGTGGCGCATTAATGCCTATTAGAAGCCCTACGCATGCATCACCCGCAGGCCTTCGCAAGGGAACACCCTGCAGGTAGGGCCACTGTTTCACATCGTCCTCTGACACAATGTCCTCCTCACTAAAGGGTAGGGTGGCCTGCGACAAGACTGGCGGTAGCTTTACCACCTGGTCCCCATCTAACGTAGCTATTTCCATTCCGCGTACCATGCTAACCTCGGTCACGGCTGTGTTTGACTCGTTGCCCATCGTTTTCAGCAAAATCGTGGTCTTGGTACCTGTGGCGTTAAGCGAGCACATGAGCCGCTCTGTGCAGAAAGTAGCAGTACTACCAGAGTCCAAGACTGCGTATGTTTCCACATATGCCTCACTTCCTTCCATCCGCACTCGAACCGGCAAGATTGACATTGCAACCTTGTTCACCCCGGCCCCCATAGGACTACAACAAGTGTTAGTAGCCACAAACCCCACAGGTTTACACCCGACGCCACTACCATTCGAATCGTCAACAAAGCTCCTGTGGAGCAGTGTTGGGTGCTGCTTATGGCACGTTGAACAGGCCAAGCGCCTCTTACAAAACTTGCTTTGGTGTCCGTATCCCAAACAACTGAAACAAAGCCCTTTAGACTTCAGAAACTCGATCTTCTTTTCGTGCGCTTCACCTCTGAGCCTGACACAGTCTTTCAGAGTGTGGCCCTCACCACACTTCAAGCAACTTTCCTTGTTACCAGGGTTACCAGGACTATTCCCTAAGCCAGTGGCCAGTCCCCTTGCCCGAAATGGTTTGCCTGGCACCGGTTTGCTAGCTGGTTTAGCGAAAGAGGTGGCGCTGCCCAAATACGCCATAGCCTCACGCCCGTACGTCGGATCATTTGCCTTACGCGCTTCCCATCTTACAAACTCCACTAACTGGCTAAATGTGACAGTTTTCCTGGCTTCCTTTGCCTTCATAACGTTGGTCCGCCATTTGTCGTGCATAAAGTAGGGTAGTTTGCCTACAATACGCTTCAAGTTCTCAGAAAAATCCAAAACAGTGTCACCCTGGACATCCTTCACAGCGTGTTGACACTCCATCAGTATAATACCGTATTCGTCCAATGCCTTAGGATTGTCAGGCTTGATGCTTGGCCAGCGCAGTACCTTCTGCACATAGGCAGAGCCTATCACCTCAGGGTCACCGTAGCGTGTCTCCAGCTCCTGTAGTGCTGCCTTATAACCAACGGATCCAGCTAGATGCGAATAACCCTGAACAATTCTGCGTGCCTCGTCTGTAGTGTACTGTTCCAAGAAACACAGGCGTTCATCGTCGTTATCCGTGTATGCGGTAATTCTCGAGTTGAATTGCCTCAAGAATTTCCGGTAATCTAAAGGACTCCCACTAAATTTTCGAATCTCAGCCTGCGGTTTCTTCAGTTCCCTAGCCACTTCTGCGATTGACGTGGCCGACGCGTCTGTGACATTGGCGGCGGTCTCGGGTTTCGCGTGTTTATCAAGTTCCGCCAGTTTCGGTTTTTGGGTCAGACTCCTACGTGACCTACTAGAGACTCGTGAGTAATGCGACGCAGCTGAACCAAAGTTCTCCAAAACCTTTGCCTTTGCCTCCGCCACAGCCAACTGAACCTTAAGCTCAAGCTCCTCTTCTTTCATTGTTAAGTCCACCTTAGCCTGTTCCATTTCACGCCTTTCTTTCAAGGCCGCCGTTTTCGCCATAATTTCTGCCTTTTCCTGTTCGGCCTTAACCATCATCTCGCTCAGCCTAGAGCTACCTCCGCTACTACCTGAACCCCTACTGCCAGATTGTGAGGCACTAACATGATGCTCATCCTGATCAGAGTCCAAGCCCATAGGCTCCTGCTTTTCATTATCTAACAACCACCTTTCTACCTTGGCCTTGAACTTACGGTACTGCTCATTGGCCTCACCAGAGTTCTCATCTTCCCTGACCTTACCGTCTCCGTCCATGTGGGCTTGGTACTCCTCTTGCACAACGAGCGACTGCTCATAGGCCTTCAGCCAAGTTCCATATTCCCTTCGAACACTGCCCACATCCTTAGTACCATTGCTGATACTGATGGTAATACTCTCCAGCAACAAGTTCACCTTCGTGACAGCGGCGTTCAAACGCTTTGAGCACCGTTCCATCTCGTACTCCTGACCTTCCATAGTGAGTCGCCTTACTCTTCCACTCCTTCGAAGCTTATCCTCCATAAACGTAAGCTCCTGATCTTCCTAACGGCAGGATCGTAAATGATGTAATCTCANCTCTGGCTACGTGAACAAACAGCTGTTACACAGGGAGATGGCACCGGGCCAAATTCGGCATGAGCTATCTATCAATAACCAAAACCTCCGTGGCCCAGTGGTAGACATCGTGCACTGTCCACTGAATGCTGCGAGTTCAAACCCCGGTCGGGGCAGTAAATTTTCTCAAGGTGTAAAAACCTGGCTCTCAACATTGGAGACTGTGAATCTCCCGTGGCTCGTATGACCACGTAAAATGGCGGTCCCGTCTCCAGAAATACTGAGCCAATGGGGACGTAAAAGAACCACTGAGGGCGCAAAGGAACTCTGGCTGTGACCACCCTCAGTGTCATTTGGCTAGAGGCTGACTACCTGGCTTTACTCAAGCTAGGTCACACCTCATGGCTAGCTATAGCCCTTGTCATTATATCCAGTGTAGTGGACACCGACAAGTATGAGAACATAACATAACATAACAATAACAGCTAGTTTAGGCTATACGGAATAAACTTGTCTGTATTATACTCTACGTTTTGGATCATCGCTGCCAGTGACAACAAACCTCCCTACAAAATATAGCTCAACAACAACATAGCTCAAGATTAACAATTATGAGAGGGAGTTGTTGTACATGTGGGCAGCGGGTGTTGTTGTCCGGGCGCGCGCGACGTCCTTTGTTATCTAGAAATGTATAAAGGAGAAGTACTTAGGTTCTTGGTTGTGAGTGAGGGTGGGATGTGAGTGTGCGAGGCACGCGGTTGCGTGCCTGTGTGCGAGCGCATGTGAGTTGAGAAACAATATACTATATGCTGAACACAACTGCTTGGAGTTTGGAGTTTCATTATTTATCGCTACAACGAATCTACATTTAAACGGGTAACGTCATCATCGTCGTTACATTTTGATGCCGTCGACAGTTCGAACCGTGTTTGCGGACATAACGCAAGATCAAGATGCTACAAACGATTCACGAGCCACGGAGCCACGGAAGAAAACTGGAGAAGGAAGAAAAAGATTGGAGAGAGATAAAAGGAGAGCGGACGAGAGAGCAAGAGAGACAGAAGAAGAGAGTGAGGGAGAGACGGAAGGAAAGAAGGCAATGTCGAGACGCCGGAGCAGACAGAGCAACGGAAGCCGAGAGAAGAAGCTGGAAGAAAGAAGAGGAAGATATATAATGCAGTGGTAAGTGTTGCAATTTTGTGCCACAATAGAGCGTTATAGGGTGCATAAGGTATAGAGAGCTTTACACGGGCTAGGATAGATAGCCGTGGCACGCGTGTGATAAAGGGCGGAGAGGGCCCTACGCGAACGTAACATGCGTCACGTTTAACGCATGGAAACGAGGTTAGCATACGCGGCTAAAGTTATGTCTCTGTAAAGACAAGTCGCGTATATACACGGTCCGAGGGAAGGACTACGGGGGATTTTTGTCATAGCATATATACGCTGGGAATCTTCCACATAACGTGTCAGGGAGCACACGGGATATAGATACGCTCGATGTGTAAGCACCCTAAGATACTAGGGCGTACCTGAACGATATAAGGATTCGTTCAGTCACGCCATAATGAAGGCACAGTAGATAACCGTATGATATATAGTTATGCACAGGTGTATATAGTTGGATTGTTGGATACTATAGAGGGCTGGCGACGCGGTAATGGCAAGCACCGATGATGCTATTTTGGGGAAAATGTGACACTGAATACGCCAGAGTATATTTAGTTAGGAACATGGCATATGTAATGGCAGGGTTGTTTAAAGATCTTGAGGAGAGGGGTATTACGAGTGACCTGGGTTTCGATGAATGTGATTGATCACACACACATTGAAGGCATATGGTCGTTAGTGATATTCGTTGTGGATGGAGCTAGGTACTCCTGAATTTTTCTTTTTTTCAGTGATTTTACGATATCTATTTTCTTCCATTGTATTTATTGCGTATTTTGGTATTTCAAGGTGTTGTGTAGTGGGATGATTTCAAATGCCTGTGTATCCCATCGATCTGTGTATCTGTGTATCGATGTTGTATTATAGTGGCCATATGGATTTTTGTTCAAACTGTATTTTTGTGTATGAGTGTATTGTTGTTCAGTGAAAGAGATATTGTATTAGTATAGTAAGGGTACGAGCAATTTTGGGTAATGTTGGATTGTCTAATTGCCAGGATGAGAGACAGGTGTGTGTGTGTGTGTGTGTGTGTGTGTGTGTGTGTGTGTGTGTGTGTGTGTGTGTGCGTGTGTGTGTGCGTGCGTGCGT